CCATATTGGGGCAAATGGCTCACCTCATACAATCTATATTTTTCTATCTAGAAGTTTGAGAGCTAAGAGCATCTTCAATTGTGACGTAAAATAGATCTAAATTGTGATTCAATCACTCCGATAGAGAGATGCAAATATTGAATTTTTCGGCCGAAAATGTAACAAGTGGATTTAAATGTTCCCATAAAAGAAAATTTTGAATTTTAGATCCATAAAGATGCAAAAGTAATTTTAAAAATATCAATTTACACAAATGTTGAAGATGCTCTAACTATTGAAATTTTAGATCTATTATGACTAAAATATCTGATTTAACGAATATTTTGTTTCTCTTTATTAAAATGATGAAAACTTTATTTTTCCATAATAAGGATTTTCGAGGAAAAAGTAAAAAATTAGAAAAATATTACTTTTTCTCCAAAGATTTAGCTGCAAGGAATTACTAAAATATTACAATATGCAGAATAATATTATGCTTGCACATGTTGAACACCCAACTACCAGGTGACGTTGAAACCCTTGTCATTTTGTCCAATAAATAAATTTACATTTGAAAGGAAATAGTTATTTTAAAAGTAAAAAAAAAAAAATTTATAAGTAAAGCTTCGCCAAAAGTGCACTTCACAAATTTTTTTTTTCTTTCTAATAAAAGCACAACAAAAATAGGTTTTCAGAAGAGGAAGTAATAAGCATGCCGAGAGTAAAATATAATTTTTGTGAGAACGATATTTCTAGCTCAAAAAGAGGAAATAAGAAGCATGTAGAAAGGAAAATATAATTTTACCGAGAACGATATTTCTAGCTAGAAAAATCTCAAGAACCACATTGTAAACATGTTTCCATAACCAACTTAGAATCAAGTACAAAATCTACTTATTCAGGTACTACGGTTAAATTGTTAAATTCTCAAGGTTTATATACGTAGAAAGAACTAGCCTACTCTTTTTGTGGAAGCGACGAGAAGTTTCATCTTATATGCTTGTTCCGTCTTTAATTGTTGCATTCTTCAATATGACTGTGATTCCCGACCTAATGTAGAACCCTTCATCAGACCTATCTGCTTCTTCAACACCCTAAGATAAGACATTGAGATAATGAAGTTTCAATCTAATATCCCGATACAAGTTTTAAGCCAAAGTAAACATATTTTGAACAGATTAACAAACGTATCCTTACATCTTTATTTGCAATGACGATGTCTTTTCCAATCTTTGCATTCTTGTCAATAATGCAATTTCTTCGTGCAAAATCACAAATAAACCAAGTCAGAATGTGTAAGCCGTGAAAAAAGAAAAATAAAGGAGATGAGATGGCAAAGTTATCAAATCTTACAAGAGGATACGCGTCATATAAAAAATCTCATATTGAAGGGCAAAAGTCAAATGAACCAAAATAAATTAATAAGTAACTTATTTCCAAATTTAATAGATGGAATATTAATTTATTTTGAACTTATTAACTTATAAGTAAACTTTTTAAACTTAGCTAAACATGCTCACGACTAGCATCTAGAAATTGAAGTTTATGCATATAGAGAAACAAGCATGGGAAAGGAAAAGAAAGCGCCCGACGCTGTTCGTACCTTAT